AAAAAAAAAAAAAAAAAAAAACACATCATAGTAAAACCAATACCTTCTCAGCTTCGCATCGAAGCTAAAATCTGTACAACAAGTACATTTTATCCAATAATTAACTGATTATTTTATATTTTAAATAAAGGAACCCTTTTTTGGTGATCTTGTATCTTCATAAGATGTGAAATACATGTACAAGCTATAACATCATATTATATGCTAATATTATAAGTAAAAATATAATATTATAATTAATGATTTCTTCAAATAATACTCTAATTATCTATTGCGTAATAAACTATTAAGAGAAATTATAGAATTATAAGGTATATTTAACATCATTCATTCAATATTGTTCAACCCCGTGGACCAATATTTATCCATTTCAGAATTTTATACTTTTTACACATTCACTATTTTGTTTACTTTATATTTCATTTTCTTCTTTTTTGGTTTATTACAATATCATTCCGCCTCCGATGGATTAGTCGGCTATTAACGACATCAATTCAGACACGGGTTGAATTGTTCAGACCTTTAATAAAAGAGGCTATAATAATCAAATAAATCGATTATTCTCATCACTACTATAAGTTTAAGAGATTTGTTTTTATTCAGACTTTGAAATGTGATACTTTAACTAAATTTGAAAAGTTAAGAGAGCATTGTGATACATAAATACACAAATGTAAAAAGGCATAAAAATGCATAAAATGAAAGAAGCCATAAAAATCCAAAAAATAATAGAACCCATGGAAATGTATAAAATTTTAGAAGCCATAGAAATGCATAATAAATTGCTAATGAATTTTTATTCTTTTTTATTATCTAATGTACTGAGGTCTTTAATTTTATGCCTCTCTGTGGTCTCTTTAACTTTGTATATTTATATGGTTATTTAAAATTTGTAAATTTCTATGGCTTTATTAATTTATTAACTCGGTTTGATTGAATTTTTGCGGTCGTTTTGTTAAATTAGTTGTATTGTACTCACTAATCCTTATGATTCCATTTATTCCTAAAATATATTTGTCAGTATGTGTTTAGCGTAGATTATGGTAATATTGTTACCGAAATATGCGAAATTTTAGTAATTCTTTTATGGGTTTTTAGTTAAATATTTTTAATAAAGTTTTAATTTGAAATAATAATAGCAACAAGTGATTAATTTTTATTATATTTAATTCATTCGTTTATTTTATAAAAATAATAAGTCACATTTATTCGTTGTCTTTCCATTTTATTTTGAAATTGTTTAATTACACCTAATTATTTATTATATTAAATATGAGAATTAATAATTATCATTGTGACTAAACTTAAACATTTTACATGAGCTGGGAGATGAATGATTTTTGAACCCGTTAATCACACTGTTTTTAATACATCATATGTAGACTAAAATTTAAAGCATTATTTATGTCTTATACTTTATAGTATCTCTCCTTCATATAAGTATATCACATAAAAAAAATTTAAATATATAGATGTACCTGGGGTAAAAAGTGCGCACTATAGTATATGGTAGTTATGAACAATTTAAACATTTTTAAAGATTGACAACTCTCAGAAATACACATTAAATATTAATAGTGAGATTAGAACTTTATAACTGAGTAATGAATTGAAACAAAATGGAAAATAGAAGCATACTTTTACCATATTGATTGAGTAAATGATTATTTAATGTTCAGAACAGTATTGTAATTATTAATTACATGTAAAGTATATTATTTCATTAATTTTAGTACATGATATACATCGTTAACTTCAATTAAACTTATTACAATTTCTTTTGCATGAATAAAATTTTTATTAGTATACCTATTTTCTAATTTTTAATTTAAATATGTTGTACTTATATGAAACCTCTGAAAACCGGATGAAGAGTCTTTAATCTCTAACTGATATATGATTTAGGTAATTTGGCTCTTTCATAGCACAAAACTATGTCACAAACCCACTGTACTACCATTTTAAATTTCACAAGAAAAAAAAAATTATTTAAATTATTTTTAGACATTTTATTGGTTTTATTATTTCATTATTAAGAGTATTTGTTCAAATGTTATAAACAGAGTTTTATTTAGAAACTTAGCATTTATTTACATAAAACAACAATTATTATTTTAAATTATTGTTGAATAAAATAGAACCAATAAAATATTTTATATTATATTTACGTTGATTGGGAGGTGCTCAAGATTGACAATGACAATTTTAATAAAATTCTTCAAAATTTTCTGCATATTTTATTACTCTAAGACTATTGCAGCAAATGAGGTAATTATATTTTAGAAAATAGCAATAAGTAGCTATTGATTTTAAATAATTTCTTAAATAAAAATTTAAACTAAAAAAATAATTAATTTGAAAATATTAATTATGATGAAGATTCTAAATTGATAAAAATAATAATAATTGTTTTACTAAATACATTTTTTTATTTCTTGAAAATAAATAGAAAATTTGATTATAATTTGTTCTTATGTTTGTCATAATTATTAAATATTAGTAGAAAGGTATTTAAAGTGTCTGAAGTATAAGGTATCAGGTTTTCTGACAATTAACTGAACAAAAATGTTTATTAATAAATAATTAATTAACGTGAAATAGTTTATAATTAATCAAAGGTAATTTTTTCTATCTTATCTAAAGTGTAAAATTTTTAAATACCCTTATTATTTTTAAGTTCTATTCACGTGTTTGAATATCATTTGTATTTTTATAACCATTACTTCAGAAATATTTTCTAAAAAAACGTAATGTCTATGAAAAATCATAAAATAATATTTGATGTGTATAAATAATGTAATACGTAAATTTAGTTTAATATTAACTTTTATTTGAGATTTTTATTATTTTAATCAATTATTTTTTAGCTTCGGTGCGAAGTTTAAATTTTATTAGTTTTACTATGTGTTTTTTATGAATATAGCTACATTTTCTTAGATATCACTAAAACAATTTTATTAAACTATACATAATATGATCACTAATCGTATTTAATTGAAAACGTCACCCTCAAAAAAAGGAAAAATTTTCTTTCGTTCTCCGTAAATACAAAACTCCTCTGCAAAATTTCAATTTTAAAATATCAGTAATTTTCTGAATTTTTAAAAATTGATGAATCAAAGTACATTATTTTAAAAATGTTTAAGGTATTTACCTTTCATTAGGTATATATATATATATTTTAAATTTAACCCTTGCCTTTTCTATAATAGGGAATTCAAAAGAGCAACTAAATGTAAAATAAGCCTTTTCAACATTTTAAAAATGTTTCAGTAATACTTCAATTTTTAAACATATGTTAAATTATCATTATTTATAGATTTACATCGTAGTGTTTCTTATGTATTTTAGCATATGGCATCGGATAAAAAAAAAAATAATAATAATAATATTAATAAATAAAAACATAGCTCAGTGGGAACGTTGCATAGTTCGATCCCGTATAATGATATCTGACAGTGATTAAAATCACTGTCATAAAAAACGTTTCAATGCAAATCTGTAGATAGTGTTTACTTTTAAAAAATTGGTGGATTGTTCCAAAAGCTACATGATCTATTAATTCCTTATTTATATTATGATTACAAGTTTTATGATTTATAAGTGTCATATATGAATAAATAAAAAACCCAGCACAGTGGGGTCATAGCACAGTTGGGACGTGACATAGTTGGGTTATAAATCTTATAAAAGAAATATCGACAATTCTTCGTAACTATAAGTTTTTATAAGTTCTACGAGTTTAAAAATGGGAACTTATTAAAAAAAATTAAGTCATCAAAATTTTTATGTTTTCTGAAATTTTCAGAATTTTGGATTTATGGATTTAGTTCTATTAGATGATCTTAGAAATTTCTCATTTACTACAAAAGATTTAACAATTACTCAGTACTTTAATCCAGTTGATGATGAATGGAAAAGAGAAAAATGTAGAAGCTTAGGGTTTACATATAAAGAACCTGTAACGTACCAGCACTTCACTAGAAATGTGATCCCCCTTGATATAGTGAACGAAAGAAAACATTTGTATAGAATTTTGTCTGATTTAATATGTGGAGATAGTAGTTTACATAGTAAACTACAAAAAAAAATTTTAATCGTAAGTTATTCATTTAAATTTTAACAAATAATATTAATTTTATGATGAATTATTTTTTATACATGAAATAAAAATTAGAGTTTTAGAGAAAATCCAATCATGCATGAATTGTTTCTTACTAAAGAAATTTTCAATGAATATTTAAGCAAACACGTGATCATTAGAGAATCAGGTAATAACTTTTATTTTATACTACATACTTTTTAATACAAATTTATAGAGATATTATTGAGTTTTATATTTGCAAATAACTTCAAAATATATTTTCTTTAAAACATAATTGAATAACTCTGTACCTGGAAGCAGTAGGTTCCATTAAATAAAATTTCTATATTTGGTGTATTAGCATATGGAAATTTGTTGTGCATCTTTTTACCTATCTCAATTTTAACCATGTTATATATTTACAGAGTTATTAATAAACTAATTTAAATGTTCCAGTATAGTCTTTTAAGAAAAATATTGTATTATTTTTATTCTTCTGAATAGTAACAATGATAGACTTGCATCCTTTCTGTTTCTCGGATATAAATTTATATTACCTAGTTCAATACAAATAAAGAGTTGAAAATAATATAAATTGATAATGGAATCTATATTTCACGAATTATTTTTTCATCGGTCTCGTTGATTTTTACTTCACGGAAGATTTTGAATATAACCAAATATATTGCCATTTTATTTACTTGCTGTGATTCGTTATTGTAACAGATACTATATTTAATAAACGTACTCAATAATACTAAATCCAGGAACTATACTAATTATTTAAAAAATTAATTACCCTGAATACATTAAGTATTAAACAGATTTCATTAATATTGTGATTTTAATATGGCCTCCTATGTAACGTAGTCTTCCCAAAAGTTTGTTTATATGAATTACGTTGGATTCTATTCACAACAATATCGAAAACAATTTTTTTAAAAATATAAATGTTTTATTTAATGAGTTATATAGGAATATAGTATAATGTCTATCATAATTTATTCCTAAACAAATCCGTTATATTTGTAAACAGAATTATTCGATATAATTAAATGAAACAAAACGCAGCAAAGGATTTTTTAGTTTGTCGTAAACTATTTGCTGTGACAATACAAACATTTAGCATTGTAGTTTTATTCATAATGACATATAAATCATTTGGTTTCATCTTTATTTTTCAATTTAAAGATTTATTTTAAAAAGTTCTATTTTCTTAGATTAAAAAAAAGTGCCATTTCGTTAAATTGCACAATGATTAAAATCTAATGATAATTCTGTTTGTTACGAAAATATATTTATTAAAGACGTATTTTTAATAAACCATTCATTTTTTATCGTTAATATTATTGTAAGCAATGTATTAANTAATAAACCATTCATTTTTTATCGTTAATATTATTGTAAGCAATGTATTAAGTTACATACATAGTATCAAACTAAGTTTTCTGTTCCTTAAAAAAACTTTAAATGCGTAGAGTAATAACATTTTGGAGAAAATGAAATCTCATCTAAAATGACATTGAGAAATATTTTGAAAATTCATGTGGTTTTCTAGTATTTTTAAGAGGAATATCCTTAATTAATTTTAAATTATTTTTTATTATTATTTATAGTACAGTAACATATATGTATTTTTGTTATATATTACAGAAATAGATGAAGGTTAGTTAAAAAAATATTATTACAATTTTTAAAATTTTATTTTAATTATTAACCAATTTTATTTTATAAAATTGATATCTTTCATAATTTTGCACATGTATGTAATATTTGTTAAATTTTAAAATATTAATTAAAAATAAATTATTGTACTCAATTATTATAAATATAACAATACAACTAATATTTGATTTCACTTAAAATATATATATTAATTATCAATTACATTTGAAAAGAGGTTAAACAATGTCCGATTTGTTATGATAATTCTACTGTAATTTTATGGAATTGCAAACATCAATTGTGTCAGAGTTGTTCCGAAACATTGATAAAAGGAAAACGATTATGTTGTCCACTTTGCAGAGCAAAAATTTTGTCTTTTTCAGACAAGGAATTGGGTATAATATAATTTTATACGTTTTCTCTGCATAATTTCTTTTGAAAATTTACTTTAATTACGTCTTACCTATGTCAAATTTTTTAGGGTACGTACATAGTACGATTGTACCAATAGAATTTTTAGCTGCAGCTTACTATCTAGATGTGTGTATTCATTTATATTTTGGAAATTATGGTTGGTTATTGTTCCGTAAAGGCTGGCCAGATTATGATGAACTTAATATGGAAAATGAAAAGTGTATTTATTTACATATGTCCAACTTACACGTGGGCGTTATATCTGATGTAACAAATCCATAGATGATTATTCACTTATCATGTAGTATCATTTGTTATATTTTATGATAGTATAAAAAATACAAGTGTTTTTATAAAATTAATTATTATTTTTTTTTGAGATGTACAATATTATACATCATTTATACATAAAATTTGTAAATTAATTTACTATATTTATTACTAAATATTTGATATATACAAACAAAAAAACGGCGGCACAGTATTGACGAGGCTTAGTTGGAACAAGTAAAAGCGATGTCCGATAGTGATTAAAATAACTATTATAAGAAACACTTCAATGCAAATTTGTAGATCGTGTTTAATTTTATGAAATTGGTGGATAATCACAAAAGCAACATCAACTCCTATTTCCTTAATTATATCCAGATTAGTGGTTCTTTGATTTAATAGTATAATATATGAATAAATAAATAAATATATATGTATATATATTATTTTATTTTGAATATATCTTTACTTCAAACAAATATAAAAATTTAAAGAGTTTGATGCAATAATTTTCAAAAAAATTTTTTTGTTACTTATGAATAAAATAAGTATTTATTTATATATGTCGCACACACACGTGGGCGTTATATCTGATGTAACAAATCCATAGATGATTATTCACTTATAGTGTAATGTCATTTGTAATATTTTATGATAGTACAATAAAAAAACGTTGTAAATTATTTTACATTATTCATTACAAAATTAATGTTATATGAAAACAAAAAAAATCATTGGAGTCTCGGAACAGTAGGGACATGGCAGCAAATATTACATTCTCAAAATTTACTAAATGTATATTATTAAAATTTTATATAAAAAAAACCCAGGATATTGGAAACATGACATAGTTGGGTCCAGTATAGATATAATCTGACAGTTATTAAAATCACTAACATAAAAAACGCTTTGATGCAAATCTGTAGATAGTGTTTAATTTTAAAAATTTGGTGGAAAAATTATTTCCTATTTCTTTATTTATATCCTGATTCCAAGTTTTATGATTTATAAGTGTAATATATGAATACATATTTATTATAGAAACTAAATATAGTATGAAGTTTATATTTAATAATTTAGTATTGTTATTTTTACGGAGAAATTATAAAGTAGTTATTATGATGTAATACTTAAAAGAAAAATCTTTTGTTATTTATAAATAAATTTACTGGTCTACAAGGAATTTTCACCGAGACTAAAATATACTTTTCTAAATTTATTTCTGTGACGATTTCAAATCTACAATTTTAGTTTTGTATTTGGACTAAATAATAACACAATTTTTCTAATTAATATAAAAATACATACCAAGCAGAATATATTATGTGCAGTATATCAATATAAATAATTATTTAAACATAAGGTGTTTATAGAAATTAATACTAAAACATTTATTTTAATGATTTATTACAATATAAATTAAAAAAAACAGTAATTATAACGAAACTTTGAGTATTACTCATAAATTGTCTGTTAAAAGTAATTATATAAGTTTCTGATCACATATTAATCTAAAAAATACAATATTTTATTTCTCATTAAATTTTCTATTCAATGATAAAAATTATAAACTTATAAGTTGAACTGAATTTATGTTTAAAATTTCAACATTTTTAAATTATAAATTTCCATAAAAATCAACTTTCTAGGAACAAAAAATTAAGATAAAAATGTAATTTTTAATTGAAATTTTTTACAGATTATATTTAACATATTAAAAATCAATTAATTACATAGTATTATAAAGAGTATTTGACATTAAAAAAGACTTCTGAAGGACTGGAGTATTAATATGTCATAAAAAATATAAATTGATCCACAAGAATGTAGTAATTAGTGGGTAATAGCATTACTAGATACAACGTATAAAATCCTAGAGTCCTAAAGTTAGTCAATTTAAATGGAATAAAAATTAAATGAACTCTGATTTTTTTCTCCATCTCTTCTTCTTCTTCCTCGCCTTAATCCCAACTACTTGGGGTCGGCCACCCTTATTCTAAACTTCCACTTGATACGATCTCCCACATCCTCTACGCTCACATTAGCTGTCTTCATATCACATTCAAGAACATCTCTCCATCTCTTTCTTGGTCTTCCTCTACCTCTTCTTCCTTCAACATTCATTTCTATAACTGTTCTTATAGCTTCCGAATCTTCTCTCCTCATAACATGACCAAACCATCTAAGTCTATTTTCTCTCATCTTATACACGATTGACGCTACACCTCTAGTCTGTGTGTAGGTTCTCAATTAATTCTAGCCAATCACATTTAACTATTAAACTATTTAACTATTAATTAAGATCACACAAGGGATCGTTATACTACTGTCGAATAAGATTAATAACTAACTTATTTCTAATGTCCATTGGTGTATTAAGTTCAGAAACATTACACTCGAGAAAATAATCATAATTTGTTTTCTATTAGTTGCTAAACGTGTTTGAACGAGTACAATTAGAATAAAATTATTCACCGAATGTATTATTTTAATTCAATTATCAAATTTATGTGACTATGTACTTGTATTTTAACTTAGAAATACGTAATATATTTTGAACACTAATTTAAAGGATAATTTTTTTTTATTATTACTTAAAACAAATAGAGGGTAGAGGAAAATTTTAGCTCTAAATAATTATAGAGCAATTAATGTAATAAACAGCATTTCATTATCACGTAATTAAAAATAATAACTTTTAAAATTATACTACATAATTATATTCTATTTAAAACAATCGGAAATCAAATTTAAAATAAAAATCAATTGAAAGAATTTTTACAATATATTATATTATTCCAACATTTTTAGAATATTAACATTATTATAATATAATATATTATATTGATATAATAGTAATTTTGTGTAATTTTGTTTAACCTTTTCAATAATTTATAAATTAAATGACACTTGATATTTAATTATTACATGTTTGGAGTATTTAATATTAACAGAGTCTGAGTCGTTCATTACAATTTGAGCCAATACTTTACGAAGTAAATTAGATAATTAATTAAAATTAAATCCAACCAAATTAAAGGTATACATTTGCATAGTTTTAACTATTTCATCGTCAAATTTCGCACAAATAAATTTAAATAACTTGGAAGTGGATTATCTTTTTTATTATAATTAACTAGTAAACTAAATTCATGTTTCAAGTTCTTTGATAAATTAAATAATTATACTGAAAATAACAAATAACTGACGATATGGTAGAGATATTTTTTGATAATTTTTTTAAAAACATAATGAACTCACCCACATTGTCATAATTGGGGTAAATATTATCGTACATATTTTTAAGTTTAGTAATTAATAATAACTGAATGTTGGATATTATATCCATTTCGTGAAGTTTTTCTAGGACATGTATCATACATTTATAAGAAAATTAAAATGGCTAATTAATCTTTCTATATCTATTATTACATTGTGTTGTTTTCCCATATCATTATCCGAAAGTACTTGATTTGGAGTTTTAAACATGTTCATAAATTCAATCATTAACAACTGCAATAGAGAAATGATCTTTTTTATTTTTTCTATATACTTACATTTAACCATTTTAATGACCAACTCTAATATAGGTTGATAGTTAGCTTAGTTATTTAGCTTCAATGGCTAAATAATAATTATTGCGTATTGTTGAATTGCCTGTTATTTCGTTTTTATTAATGACCGTATTATCAAAACCAACAAGATATTCAAAAATTTTTCTACTGATACTTTTTGATTTTTTTTAGTCGTAACTAAGATGTTAGAAAAACTTTTCCACGAATCATTCAATGTTAATATATCATTGAGTTTTATGATAAGTTTTATTTTTTGGTTCAGTGTTAATTGTTCTAATCCGCTTGAACAATTATTTTGCAGAAAACACAGTACTATTGAAAAGATTCTAAGTAAATAATTTAAATAATCCATATATGTATACTAGATTTTATCATAAATACAATACTACCTAGTGCTTAGAATTAAATAAATATGAAATTTAAAAACAATCATTGACAAACGTTTTTTTTTATTGAAGACAATATTTTTAAAGAGAAGATATAAATACATTTGGGAATGACTGAAATTTTTTCTATTTAAGTGAGTCATTTTACAAAGTATACTTAAAAATTGGCTCTGGAATCAAATGTACATGAGTAGACAATTTTTAATAATAAATTTTAAATTTTGATTATTTTTAAATGTCTAAAAATGAACAGTTTATAGTTAGGGTACATTATTTTATTATTTATTTAAGCACTTTAATCTTATAACACCTTTATTGTTCCTATAAATCAAATGTAAAACAAATTGTGACTATATTATTAATTTACAATAATTTTTTATGTAAAATTAAATATGAAATTGTCAAAAAAATTCATAAAAAGTATGTCGAATGAAAGATGTATATAAATACTAATTCTCATGAAAAAATTGTATTGATCCATATATTTTTTAAAAAGTTATAGCATTTTAAACTAAAAAAACCCAGCACATGGGGTCGCGGCACAGTGGTGACGTGGCATAGTTGGATCAAGTATAATGATATCTGACAGTGATTAAAATCACTATCAAAAATAAACGCTTCGATGCAAATCTTTAGATAGTGTTTAATTTTAAAAAATTGGTGGATTATTCCAAAAACTACACGATCTGCTATTTATTATTATTATCCTGAATGAAAAAGGGAATATTAAAAAAATATTATTTCTCATAAAAAAATTGTGTTGATCAATACACTTTTCAATAGTTATAGCATTATAAAGTTAAAAAGAAATGTTATTATTATTAATTTACTATGTTAAAATTTCTTTAGGATCATTGTTTTAAAAAAACCCAGCACAGGGGGGTCGCGGCACAGTGGTGACGTGGCATAGTTGGANTTTTTTTTTTCAAATTAAAGTACATTACATTAACTTTAATTTAAGATATATATAAAAGTGTCAGACCTTCCGGAACATTTTCAAAAGTTAAGTTGAAAATTTTAATTTTTTGTGAAAAAGTTGTCATTTTAAATCCCCCCCTGTGGGCAGGTTAAGTGTCAGATTTACAAAAAATATATACCAAATGATAAGTAAAGATATCAAGCATCTATAAA